TACTCCAATGGCCTAATCTCAATTTTCCTGCATAAACTATTACATTGAAATGATGGTCATTTGCTCTCTAACTTCCGCACCGCATACGTAACTTCGTAACATTTCAATAAGCCAAGACAGGACCGCTATAATCGCTACATGCCAGTGTTTTTAAGTGCTGGTATACATACAAGTCAATTTAAAACAAAATGTTATAAATGCAGTCATTACCTCATACCAAGGCAGCAGTCTACATGATTTCGTAGGCCTCTGCGTAGGCCTATGACATTTCTTAAATATTAACTTAAATTTCAACTGAACATTCAAACCACAAAACATGCCGCCGTTTTTGAACAAATATGAGACAAAATGGTGAATTATGTATTTGCGTCACTCATACTATGAACGCCTATAATATCAATAAATTAAGAGATGTTCCTTAAATATTTTTTTTGTATGTCAGAATTTTACTCTAGTTTTCAAATATGTAATCAGATTTTGATAATACTGAAAATTAAAAAAGTTATTAAAGAAAAAGTGACCATTGAACAATTCTGTCCGGGCTACTATGATAATATTTGTAATATTTGTTCACAGTCTCTTTACAAAGTATTGATGATTTATATTGCTTTGAGAATGTTCATCAATTTTCAAAATATTGATGGTTGATATTTCTTTTAGAGTGTTGATCCACTTAATTAACGAAGCTGATGAGGAAGAAGATAGTGAAGAAGATAATGAGTGGAAGATACAGTACTTGCTGGACAACACCCTTCCAAATTGACTAGAATCCTAACAAGTTGAAGGGTTTACTTTTTTAATTGTTTTTTTTGGTTTCCAGAATAAAATTGGTTTACAAATATGATTCATTGTTTTGTTGTACCTTTTATAAGTTGCAAAATTTAGTAGAAAAATAAATATAATTGTGATGGTATTTTCACAAACATACTTAGATGTTGTGCCTTTCAAATTTCAAGTCTCAAAAGTTTCATATCATATCAATATAATTGTGATTATGTAAACTTAATAATTGAAATGTGAGCATAATAAGATAATCATAAAAAATCTTCCAAATGAACTAGAATCCTAATCCTAATGTTATGTTATGTTATTTTATTTACCATCTACAAGATGAGTACATATACATAAATATGTTACAAAAATAAATATACGAAAAATACTACAAGTTATAGGTAAGTTAGATGAGCAAAATTAATATGCTCATATGTCAGAGCATGCTATTATTTACAAGGATTTAAGAAGGTAATCCCTTCTTTTGTGCATTCATATATCGTGTCCAGCAATGGAAGCATTATTTCAGGATCATATTCGCTCCCTCCACCGAAAATGAAACATATGAATTCACAAAAGTTGCTGACTCCTAGTTTATATAATTCACTAAACAGATTGTATCTTATATCTATATACGCTGGGCACAATAGTAAAAAATGCTGTACGTCTTCAGTGACATTTAAATTGCATAGTAAGCATACTCGTTCAGACATTGGTTGTCCGTAATTACATATCCTGTATGTTCCTGATATCATTTTCATTATAACTTTACATTGTGGTAAGCGCGATAATAATAATAAGTTGGAGAATTTACTTTTAATTTCTAGAATAAAATTGGTTTACAAATCTGATTTATTGTATTGTTGAACTTTTTAAGTTTCATGTTTTAAAAGTGTCATATACATTTCATTTAGTGGAAAAGCTTAATTAGAAAGATGAAAATATTGTTAATACAGTAGAACCTGTGTTTGAGTACATCTCAATACTTCTGTCCCATTTCTCCAATCGAAACAAATATCTTCATTTGGACATGAAACATACATAGTAAGACCATACATAATTCAAAATCAGCCTGCTCACTAGTAGGCTTCAAGAAGAAATAGCATCTTCAAATTTGAAAAAGATTCAATCCTCCCCTCCAGCAACTTCAACTTCATTTATTTTTAATTGGATGAACCACATGGTGCAATATATAATTTTACAATATTTAATACGACACATTTTACGTCAGAGTGTAGTTATACCAATGGGTACAGATTGTACTCCCTTTTAGCAGGCCTGTTTCTATTCTCATATGATTAATAAAGGATGATGAAAGATAAAGTTCAAGTTATTTAAGAAAATAGATAGATATATTGATGACCTGTTAGGTTTAGACAACCCAACATTTATAGACTTTGTAGGTGAGATATATCCTGCTGAGTTAGAACTGAAAAAAACTAATGGACCTAATATGAATGCACCCTATCTCGATCTTCTTATTTACACTAAACTAATCAATAGTATATAGTGTAAGTTATATGACAAAAGAGATGACTTTAATTTTGACATTGCTAATTTTCGACATTTGGATAGTATTAAATATTCCACTGAACCCAGCATAAGGGGTTTATGCATCCCAGCTAATTAGATATAGCAAGGCAGTACTTGTAAAAAGCTTAAGAAATCCTTTCTGGGCTTTGCTGAAAAATAAAGGTCTTTAATTATAAAGTTTCAAGTTTTACCACTGGAGATGCTGAATGATGTTGGCAACGGCTTTGCAAATTGATGTTGACCCTTTGAATTACCTATGGACTTGGAGACTGGATTTCGTCTATCCTACATCATTTGAAACTGAATCCAGGATGAGTATCTACAACTGATGTTACAAGTATTGGTTATCAATCATTAAATTTTTTTCTTCAACATGTATTGTAATGACTTTGGTATAAATGAAATGTCCCATGGTTTTCTGGTCCAGGTTTGTGATATTGGCTCTTTATTGGAGGGGGAAGGGGGATGTTAGACATTATTTCTTTTCACATTAAATCATGTTTTTTGTATATTAATAGGCCATAGGGTCTATTTTTCTTACGACTGATTTTGCAGGCTCAGTCTGCATAATTTCTTAATTATGAAGGTAACTTCATGAATTTTTGTGTAGACGGAGTGATATTGCATGAACTTATACAGCATTAAGCGCTTAAAGATTTAGAGATATCATGTTTTCAATGGAGACATACTCGGAGGCAAAATCATTCAAAAAATGTAAGTTAGGAAATTGTCTTTCTTAAAATGTACCTAATATGAAAGTCAGTTCATCATATTTGACAAAAACATTTCAGAAACATGAGTAGATATGGCATAAAATGTATGAAAGCATTCCAGAAATGACTCAAATAATGTCAAAACAGAAATCCTAGTTTCATGTATATACTCATACAGATACATGAGAGGTATTGCTCATGTCTGATAGTGGTGAACAAAATAAAGTATCGGTGGTGTTGGACTTTGCAGCTTTGCCCTTTACAGCAGAACTCAATTTTGGGTATTCATTCTTTTGGATGAATATGACAACACACTAAAAAATAAGATTCTAAAAAACAAAGGAGTGATATCCGTGTTGCTTCCTGCCTTCAGGTGGCATTTTGTTTTTCCGGGGCATAAATTAGTTGGACAGGTTGAATGACTGAGTGATAGTCATAAGACAAAAATCTGTAGAGTTAATTCCATAATAATTAACAAGAAAATTTCATCACCTTATTCAATGGCCAGGCCATGGTTTCATGTACGTTAAGTTTGCGGGTTTTGAAATAAACATGGAAATTTAAAAACTGATCATTATTGCAACATCAGGTCATATTAACTGAATCAACAATCAATAAGTCAGGGATTACCTATGAGGAATCTGTGATGTGGTCATGCATATTTCAAACTCTCTCTCGAAAATGTGAATGAACTGCCTGGTTTTTGATATTCATTTATATATACGAGTAATAACTACATATTTGTTCACTTTATTCCTTGCTGATTCTATTCTTTTCACTCTATTTCCCATTTTAATACATTACAAAGTTGATCTTTTCATGAATGGCAGACACCAGAAAGAAGATTACAAGTTATTTTAAGCATTGGTTCATGTTGACGTATGCAAAATAATAATTCTCAGATGAGCACACACTTGAAGAGACTGTTAATTATTATCTGACACCATAGAGAATATTGAACTCGGCTCAAGGAAAGGACACCAAATTCTATATTTAAAAGGTGAGGGAAATCATTGATACATAATGATTAATGGGATCAAAATAAACATGCAATTTTGTCTGAATATTTTTAAATTTAATTAAATATATCAAACTATTGAGTTCGAAAACTTTTCAATAAAAATAAATTCAACGCGCATGGATGATAAATACTGACAAATAAATATGATGTTATTTACCAAATTTGTATAATTTGATTTGTATAACATTCATGTTGCAAGTATCAAAAGGAGCATGCCATAACAAATTGAAATCCAATATGGAAACTCTGAATATATAACATTAATGAAATTGAATCTTACAATATTTAAGGATTTAAGCCCTGGAGTAAGTGCAATGAATGCTGAATCATTCCATTGAAGATGTTGTTTTCAAATCTTTGCATTTTATTTGAGTCACATATCTCACACAGACACCATAGGGCATATACTTTGGATAACGGATAATGTAACTTGATTATAATCCTAAGGTAGAAACAGCTAACTGGATTAATCCTACAGGAACTGGTATCTTTATCCTGACTAGGACCACAGACAGTTCAAGCCAGCACATGCCTTTTATTGAGTTAGTTTCACTCTAGTAATCAACCCTCGGTCAGCCCAAGCTGGGATTGAACCCAGGACCTTGGCATCAGGAGTCCACAGTGCTAACCTATACGCCACAGAACCAAAGACAATCATGTGGGAATGCAGAGTTTAGAAAACAATGCCTGAGTGGAATGAAGCAGCCACAAGGCATTGAGTCTTTGGCTTAAATTCTTTTCACACACTGCAAAATATTTTCTACAAAATCACCTAAAAGATACAAAATCACTAAAACAACACATTTTCAATGAAACTTTTTGCAAGGGTCTAGTTAGCAATGAATCAATTTCAATCTCCTCACCTTGACCACCATACAAAAAAGCATTATTGGTTGTATAACCGAATGCAGTTACATGATATAGCACCATGAGTCACTGTTTTTCCATCAACAGAAAACAAGATGACATTGCTCACAGTGATATTGTTGCTGGTTCTAAGTGATGCCTGCATCTGCAGCCATGATGAGAGCAGTGATGAGAGCAGTGGTAAGATCATTCTTTGTTTCAAAATGGAATGGATGTAGAATCACATTAAAAGATAATAATTATATAAGCCAAACCTAGCTACATGTTGAGGCATATTAGTTTTTTATAAGAAATAAAATACAAAAACTTTAAGAATGAAAATATTTTATTATCACGAAATGGACATAAATTCAGAGGCAATTTTGAAAAAAGCTTTTTTAGATTTTTGGGCATAAGAGGTACAATGTACATACACAATTGTAATCACCCTCCATGTTTATTACCTCTACCTTATGTACATCTCATATTTATATTTCAGTTGAAAAGGAACTCACTGAATTTTTGAGTGATTTCAGTGATGCCTTCAAAGTGCCTGAATGTGCAACCAGCGAGAATCCTGACTGCTCAGCAGTTGCGGCATTCAGTGCTAGGGATGCAATCCTAGCACCGCAAGGGGTCCCAACTGCATTTGGAAGAGCAGGTGAGAGCTCAGAACTGAATAACAATTTTCCTTTGAAACAATGCTTCAAGGCATTTGCATTAAGCTTTCAATTTTTTTCAATTCCGATGATTATGTTCCAATTTAATTATCATGTTTGTTTCATGACCCTCTGTTGATGATTCTGACTTGCTATCATCATATTCACTTTTGACTGTATGTATCAATCTTCAATACTAAAAAGAAAGACAAACTAAGACATGGCCCTTACATGTATTTATTTTACTCATTAGAAATTAAGCAATTCACAGAGGGATTCAAGGCATTAAATCCTAGTGCATATTCTGAGATAACTATTAAAAGCATCAAGGCGGACAGACGCAGCGCCACTGTATTTGGTATTACCACTACATTTGTAAATGGGGAAATATTCATGGAGACAAGGTATGTAAACATACTTAATAGGGGAATACTTCCATTGCTGATAGGCTTAATGCTGACTCAGAATACATAATTCATAATTCATAAAGGACCACATAGTGTATCATGAACAATTTTGGACAGCTTTATTTTCGAGCGAAAGTCTTGTTAGACCACACATTCCTCATTTTACATTAGAACAATATAATTTGTAGTATATTTCTAGTGTTTATCAACTTTTTAACAAAATATCGATAGTTAATATGGAGTTTAAGATTGCAACATTTTTCACAACCTAAATGTGAACAGAAAATATTGAACCGATGCATTTGTATGGGCGATTGGTCATATGTAAAGGTTGGCGTTTCGATTGTATATGCAAGCTTAAACTCCCTATTATTGTTTTTAATTACAAAATATTGATGATTAATATTTGTAAGAGTTGACAGTTTCTTAACAAGATATTGATGGTTGATATTTCTTTTAGAATGTTCATCAATTTTCAAAATATTGATGGTTGATATTGCTTTAAGAGTGTTCATCAATTTTCAAAATATTGATGGTTGATATTGCTTTTAGAGTGTTCATCAATTTCCAAAATATTGATGGTTGATATTGCTTTTAGAGTGTTCATCAATTTTCAAAATATTGATGGTTGATATTGCTTTTAGAGTGTTCATCAATTTTCAAAATATTGATGGTTGATATTGCTTTTAGAATGTTCATCAATTTTCAAAATATTGATGGTTGATATTGCTTTTAGAATGTTCATCAATTTTCAAAATATTGATGGTTGTTATTGGTTTTAGAATGTTCATCAATTTTCAAAATATTAATGGTTGATATTGCTTTTAGAGTGTTCATCAATTTTCAAAATATTGATGGTTGTTATTGGTTTTAGAGTATTGATCTACTTCATTAACGAAGCTGATGAGGAAGGAGATAGTGTATGGAAGATACAGTACTTGCTTGACAACGAACATTTTTTTCAAAAATAACAGATCCAAATTAATTAGAATCCTAACAAGTTTAAGGATTTTCTTGTTAAATTGTTAATTTTGGATTCCAGAATAAAATTGGTTTACAAATCTGATTTATTGTATTGTTGTACCTTTTAAGGTTCAAGTTCAAATTGAAAACTTTAGTAGAAAAATAAATATAATTTTGATGATATATTCACAAACTTAAACGAAAAGATTGTTAATACAGTAAAACCTGTGTAAATGAACAAAATCACTTCTGTCCAATTTTTCCTTCAACTGATCTCCGAGTTAAGATGAAGTAAAATATGACCAAATCTTAATTTGAACACAAAACACATTTATAAGACTATCTATTTTTAAATTTGCCTGCTCATCTCAGTGAGTTCAAGCTTCAAGAAAAATCATTGATTTCTGAACTCAGGAGAAGCATAAATTCTTCACTCCATCCATTCCAACCTCATTAGTTTTACTTATATTGAGATAAACAACATGTATAATGGGGCAATATGCATTTCGCATTATTTAAAAACATTACAGCACATTCTATGGTGTGAGACACTAAACATTCCAAGTATGTACCATAGAATATTTGTTTGCTGGTGCCTTGAGAATCAGCTCTCAGTGCAATGACCATTTTTGAATCTGAGCTCAGTCTTTGAAGATTCATTTTATCCTTAAGTCTGTTAGTTGACACATAATAGAAAGGAAATTGTGAAAATAGTTGAATAGGAGTACATCCTTTACTTCACAGTGTACATTAAAACTCTGGCCCACATATAGTTTTTAATATTGCCATTTTGATACATTATTCCCAGCCTTCATACAGTTTTGGTGATCAAGATACCATAACGATATAAATAGATAATTCTCAGGATTTGAACAAATTAAATAATGAAACCACAGAATGAAATCCTGTGCTAAGGGCTGAAAAAGTCAGTCCACCCCAGTGGGGATCAAACCCACGACCCCTCGCTCGAAATGTAATAAAAAATAATACTCACAAACTTGAGTAGAAAGATGATGAATAGGTTAATGCAGGCTGCAGTGGCTGAGGTGATAATACTGGCATTCCTGTAGAACATGGGGTTGTCACTGAGGTACAAAGCTGCTACTATTGCCATACGGTATGCCACTACACCAAACACAGCAGCTAGTGCCAGAATTAGCTGCAAAGTGGACAAATGTTCATTATTTTAACTGACACTTGCAAATAGACATGGGGAAGTCACCTAATGGATCTTTAGGGGAGGCATCAAAAGTTCGATGTCGGATAGAAAACTAAATAAATCTAGTTAGGGGGGAGGGGGTTCAAACCCATTTCAGTTTGCTATCCGACAAATTTCAACATTTCAAATTTTTGGCAATTTTAACTCAGAATGCCTTGAAATGGTTTAAAAATAAAGATTTTACCTGATGCTTTCTTTGTCAAGATCATTCCAATGGATTCTATTCTATCAATAGTTGTTAACAGCCGCAAATTACGATAGGAATTAACAAAAACTAGATCGTGTTTAGCGAACTCCTATGCAGTGTCTCAGTATAGACACTGCGGCGGGCAGATTATGGAATCCCCAAAATTTGGGGAAGATAGTCCCCATTTTTGTCACAGATGTACTTGTTTTTCACACAACTTATAAAATATATGTTCTTTTATGTTCAACAATAATTATTTTGTCAAAATATTCCCAAATCACTGAAATATAAGAGCAAATCCCCGCGGAAGGAATTCTGAGTAAAAGTTGTGTTGATAAAAGTTTACCGCACGTGTTGTTTATTAGTTAATACGCGCAATTCAACCAATGAAATTGTCTAAATTTTACAATCACGCGACCTGAGCATGGGACTAGAACCAATCACGTCAGTTGTTTATTACGATGTTGCCATGCTTACAGTGAGACACCTGCCCGCCGCAGTGATATATCACTGCACGGGAGTTCGCGTGTTTAGCAATAATTTTTCAAATTCTCAAACCGGAAGTAAGCGATCAACTTTCATGGTATTTAGTTTTGGGGGGGAGGGGGGGGTCTGAGTCAAAACTAGATTTATTTAGTTTCCGATCCGACATCGAACTTTTGATGCCTCCCCTTAGTATTTAAGGTATCTTCATAAAATTTTTGTAACTACGATATGCTATTCAATATAAAAAGGTGTTGTGATGATTTCAGAATGGTATTCATTTTCTTTCTTTGTTCAAACTTTCGCAATCATTAGATCAAGGGGAACTACTTACCAGGAATAGCATAATAGAGAAAGAGAAGACAAATATTGGAACTCTGGTTTTCCAAAATGGCAGATGTGGCTCCTGTAGCTGAAATAGAACACAATGTTAACATCAGAAACATTTCAAATGTGGCTTCTGTAGCTGAAATAGAGCACAATGTTAACATCAGAAACATTTCAAATATGGCTCTTGTAGCTGAAATATAACACAATTTTAACAGCAGAAACATTTCAAACTAATCTGAAATATTGAGCTTTTCTACTCTCTCTCATTCTACCATCTAAATAATGGAATGACTACAAATTCAAAGTTGCTTCAATCTTATAAGTAATCATACATATTGCATCAGACTTGGTGTATATTTTCAACTGGTTCAATATTTCAGAAGATATGTCATTGATATTGAAGAACTTTTATGTATACAAGGTAAATATATTAGACATGCTACAACTAGCACACATACTTTACTAGATGCACATAAAAACAAACCAACCCATACATGCTAGTAATTTCAGTCTGATAAAGATCACAATAGAATATAGGTTATATCAAAATCAATTAATCATATCCTAGTTACCCTATGATGACATTTTACACCAGGTAATCTTCATATCTGACCCTACTATAGGATACCTGTAACTGGTCCTACAGTATGTGTAAAATACATGTACATTTTAAAACAATATCAAACTTTAAAACCATGCAGCATATAAAGCCCATTCAGAACCCCTCAAAACCAGTAATGTAAATTCATGCAACAAAATCCTGACAAACAGCAAAACGATTAGTAAGTTATTTGCTGAAAATATGAACAATTTAAATTATGCAAAGTGATCTTGAATTTTGAAATTTTGATTTCAAAGTTATAATCTCAGAGCTTGAAATTGGGCTGTTAGATTCGAACATCGAGAATTACCTTTAAACTCATTTACTAGGTTATTTGCAAAAATTAGATTTGTGAAGTCAGGAATTTATTTGGCGATATGGAGCTATACTGACTGAAGGAATTAAACTGAATCATATCATATAAGATGGATTTATACACAGAATATTAAGCATATCCTAGGAATAGTGCTACCACATTGACATCATAGAGGTTACTTAATTTAAACATACATTAAAGTACCAAAACATAAACAAGGCATTAACAGACAAAATGTGACCACCTGCCATTTGTTACAGATGCCAAACACAGTCCACTAAAAAAAATGGAGACTACAACAATATGTCAACCATTCTGTTGGTGACATAATAAACTAATTCACTGGTGTATTAACTGGAGAGCATCTTTGTACAACATAAACATTCATAAAGTTCTACCTTATACACATGTACTGTGTAATCTAAATACATTGATGTGTACATTAATGATTTCAAATAGAAATATACAGAAAAGAATTATACAGTTACATGTATGGATTTTGTAAGAATGGGAACAGTCCCTAATGGTGAGACCAACCAGTAGTTTTGTGTCAAGCTCCCCCTCCCCCACCTTACCTACCTCGCCTTGTAGTGGGACCTTGTAGTGGGAGGTAAGGTATTTATGTGGGTGGTAACAGGGGCTTGAAGCAAGACTAACAATTCAGTAACAGTACACAATCCAGCTTAGACAAACAACAAGGCATTGACGATAAATGTCATCATTTTGGTTGAAATTAAAGTGTCAACATTTGCTAATGACACTTACACTGGATGTCAAATGTTGACATCAATTAACAGTAACAAATAAGGCATTAACATGCAAAATGTCACCACCTGCCATTTGTTACAGATGCCAAACTTGTGGTGGTGACATAAAATTGTCTCCATTCAGTCTGGATGTCCCTTTGTACTGAATAGAATTAAATCCATACATTTAACTATATTAAACAGCATAATCTCCCCACGATTTTCATCTCGATGGATTCTCTGGTCAAAGTCCAAACTGGTCAATACCCAAATTCTGAATTCCGAAATTCTGAAATGGGTGCAGCTGGATTTTAGCCTGGCCTGGGGAGATTATTGAAGAATGTATGTCCATTCCTATAGCCTGTTAGATGACTTACGGATACAGATTTGACCATACCACATCGGGATGTCTCCTCCGATGGATTGTATCTAACAATTGTGTTGAACTAATGATAGAATGAAACAAAAAAGCATTAACTAAATCTAAATCGCAACATATGTTAAAACAGAGGGATGATCATCTGTAAAATCAAGGGAAGTTTCATGAGTGAACCTAAGTTCCAACTAATCACAAATGTGAAGAAAATGATTGGCTGATCAACATTTATTAAGCAACAATATTTGTGACAAAATCTGACATGGAAACACCATCCTTTGATTTCTTTTTAACTCACAGATATTTGATAGCTCAAAGAAGGGCTCATTCCACTCCTTGCCCTTTGTGTGGACACCATGCGGATCTCTGGGCATCTAACCACGGTGTTGTACTAGATATCGTAGAGGGTAGGTGAATTAAATGAAGCCTGATTATTTATTATGTAAATGATCTGATGGTAGCATCCTAGTATTTCACTCAGTTATTTATTACATACTAACACAACCAGGTTCATATCTCCATTTCATGTTTTCATATATGCATTTAATAAAATATAGTAAATGCTTTTTATGGATTACTCAATATCATATCATATTGTCAGCTTGCTTTTACAAGATAAAGTTGAGATTATATTTTCAATATATGAGATAGTTATGATTGTGTATTATGTCTAGGTTCAAAGCGTATAAGACAATGGGCATCAATAAAAACATAACATTATATATATTTGTCACCCTAGTAGGATAAAGAGCAATGGTATTGTCATACCACTGAAGTTTTGGCTATAACTACTACCAGTTTTGTTTCTTTTTTTGCCAAACAGTCTGTTTTGGCACAAGTTTGTTTTTGTCACTGAGTTTGCTTTGCAGTACCAATTTGTTTCTCAAAACAGTCTTCATTATTAATATATTACAAACCCAAGTTTTTTACTAACATCCAATACATCTTTGATATGATTTATGATTTATGTATTTATGATTTATGTATAGACCAGATGTAAATTTGTGTGTACTGATACATAAACAATCAACAAATATACACCATAACCTTTTATACGAATTGTGAACCATTCAGTGAACCACTCACATGCACATTAACACAGTGCAGGCATTCACTGAGAATTGAACCTGGGTTAACCTGGGTGGGGTACTTGTATGAGAGGTGCATGCTCCATGGTGCTGCTGTTAAACTTATCACATAGGGTGTATAATGTAACAATATCATAAGGGTACCATCTATTTCACAGAGTAGTTTCAGAACCAAACCAAATTAACTCATGAACATATTGCCATTTCATGTTCATAGTAACATGGGGTGAATATACGAAAGTTTAGTATGTAAATCTCAGTAAAAACATACTTATCAGTATGAATGTATTGTTTTGCATTTTAAAGCATTTTTGCCATATCAACCCCATGCAAATTTCACGTAACAAAATAAAGAATTGGCTGTAACTTTCACACATATGTACACCATTTCATTGTATAGCTTTACATGATCCTGAAGACCAGATCATGTAAACCTGTAATAATGATTGTTGTAGTCTTGCCTATTCCATGAGTTTTCTTGAAAAATATTGAATAAACTGCCTGATTTTCAGGCATTTCTTTATAATCAAGAGTGTTGATTACATGCCTGTTTGGATTATTCCTTGCTTATTTCACTCAAATTGACTTATTTACCATTTCAAAACATGGCAATCATGATTTTTCACTCTTGACCAATATATTCAATCAAAGGTGTGTGTTAAGTTATGCCTATTGTTAAGGTTAATCATTTGAAAACTCAACTCTGAACAAACTCAGTGATTGTTGATTAATTTCTAATTACCCTTGGTGGAAGATATTTACTATCTTGTAATATTTCTATAGTTTCTTGCTGAAAAAAAAGTATTAAATAGAAGTTCATGAACTCATAAGTTCAAGACCCATACGTAAGAAAAGTCCCTAGACAGTACAAATTATACTTCATTTTCAATGTAGCTATTACCATTCCCTGCTTCGAATGTTGTCTGCTCAATAAACTGAAATACCTTATATCAAGTTCTTTCTAAAATTTGAATTCAACTGTATTTATACATAATAGAGTATCACCTATTACTCTCTTTTACAAATTGTTTGATTTTTAGTTTGGTGCTAAAACAGGAACATATTCCAAAATTTGGTCTCTCAGTCATGGATTGAGGGTGAAGCTAAAATACAATGTTTGAACTTGAATAAATTCTGAACTAGCATATAACTTTACAATAGTACGATTCCCATGCTTTTGTCACAATAATATCTTTTAGCTACAGTAGCATGTTTGAACAATGAAATGCATATTACAGGTAACATAAAATGATAATGTTAGGGTATGATACAAAACGATATACATATGCATATATGTTAGTAGAACAATTTATAGTTAATCTTATATCCATCAAAATGCATCTAACATCCTATTGTCATATTAAAACCAAATATTTTCTCCTTTTCTAACATTAACACCTCCAAAATTCAAGTTACTTTATGCACGATACAAGGAAGAAAAATGAATCAAAATTGTAGGCAACTTTTGTGCATATATGGAACCCATATTCATTTCCACACACTCTAATTCCCTGCTTGCCGTCTCCACCCAAATGGGTAAAATAACACAGTGTAACAAAGTTAAGCAATACTTACTTTAGTGATTGGATTACTTTTACATCTGATGTTTTTATTCTGTGCCATTCTTGCAAGATACTCTGGTCTCGGAGGTTCCTCTTCGTCTTCAAAGTGTATTAGGTTCCACTGGTACTGAATACTGGCCTGTTGGCGCTTCCAGAACTCAAGGAAAAATGTACCTAGAAAGAAAAGAATGAGTCGTGTGTATGCATATTTTGATGTTGTCTGATTGGTTAGGTATTATACATCTTTATACCTGCCAAGAAATGGATAGTCTAGGTACTCATCATAACTACATGTATTGTCATTAGCACTGGTATTAATGCTTCAGTCACATTTCATCCACGGCAACCGAACAGTAGCTGTAGCTACCCAAAATTGAGAGAATATGCAGCATAAAATAGAGTACAGTAATCAGTACATTGTAAATGTTTTATATCAATTTTGTGAAGCTGGTCTGCCTGCGTACGCCGTACACCCACCAGAGAGCAAATGTGACCGAGGCTTAAATGCTACTGGCCTGTTTACACTATCTTATAGGAACAAAAAGTTGAATTTACTCTCATGTTATTTAAGGCAACATTCTAGATTTTAGAAGCATATACCAATAGTTTTGTGAAAAATGACTCAAAATGTTTAATGTTTTTGGATAAAAGGTTGTTTTTCTTAATTGATTAAATAAAGATATATTTCGTGCATTGTCATGCTTAACCCTACTATCACACCAAACTAGTTCTCACTACGTTCTCGAAAACGGGCTTCAACTGTGTACGAACGGACTGGACCTACTAAGAACCGTTTGGGATCTATTTACAAACTTCATCGAACGTACTCGAACGGGTAGGTCCTCTAGAACTTAGACAATGCTCAAAATGTACTCGTGGTCGTCACGTTCTACAATTAGAACGAGTGACAACGTACTAACGACGAGCTGGACGTACTACGAACGGAACCGTCGTACTTCAATCCTACTAGGGACGTTTTAACAACGAGTTGAACTGTCTGAGGACGTGTGGAGAACGAGGTAGAACTAATTGCAAACGGGTTTAAACTGATTAAGAACGTATTTAACACTGCTTATGAACGAGTTAGCAAAAATATAGCTATCACACCAAACAAGTTGCCACTGCGTTCTTCAAAACTGGTTTGAAACTGTGTGCGAATGGAATGAACGTAGCTGCAACTTTCTAAGGTCTATTTACGAACTTTATGAACGTTCTCAGACGGGAATGTGATTTTAGAATTTTGAATCGATTCAAAATTCGATGGCGACCATGCCGTTCTGTAATCAGGTCATGTTGACCTTCTAGACTAAGGGACGCGTTGTACGACGTTGCACACCGACGTGATGCGACCTGAACGAACTGCGAACGAGATGGACGTATTGAAGACTGTTTAAGGACGAAGAAGCTAATTATTTCAGACATATTTCCCGACCACAGCCAGATTGAGCCCGTTTTACGACGTTTTCGTAGGACTGGCAAGAACGGATAAGAACTAGTTTGGTGTGATAGGGGGGTAAGTGTCCCTGATATTTGATACAACTTGATTTTTGATAATTTGAAAATTAATCTTACCCCAAAATGTCATGAAGATAGAAAAGAAGACGGTGGCCCCATTGTCAAAGAGTCTGCTGACCCTGGAGTGGGTACAAGCCTCATTGAGGTTCCAGAAAGGACACCTATTGTCACACTGCGGACACATGGTGATATTCCATTCTTTGTTACATATATCATCACTAGAACAACAATAGAGAATCCATTCAACTCTAAAATTAAAGGCATCCAATTCTATTTTACATTAGGCAATCATCTGGTTTGATTGTCTGGCATTTTCAGGTTTATAACAACTTTTAATCATCCAACCAAATAAAGTTTGGATTGGCATGGAAACTGTCTGTACAATATGATACAATGTAATTCAATACAATATTAAATGCAATTACGGTGAAACCTGTAAAGTGGAACACCTCTGTCAGTGGAACACTTTACAGAGCCCCAAGACCAACTGAATGTTAAATGAACCTCTATAAGTGGAACACCTCCCAAGTGGAACACTTTTAGAGGTACCAAAGATGTTCCACTTAGACAGATTTCACTGTATAATTTATTTTGCAAAAGATGAATAATTTACCTTGGCACATTATCCTGAAAGGTGACTAGTCCATATATGAAGACAACTAGTCCAACTATAGATGCTGGTATCAACATGTATGTGTAGAACCCCAACCAGGCAAAGTACATCCCTATCTTTGCACCAAAGTAATACCTAAAAAACAAAATGTGACTTAAACAGTTCTCTTATTATTTTATCTAGAGTAACATAAACTTTTTGCATATCATATCATATATTATACATGTATTATATATATCATATTATATTAAACATACAAATATGGTTAACATAGAATTGGGAAATATATATTTGAAGACATTGTTATAAATTTATTTCAGATGTTACAATTTGAGAAATGTAATTTTGTGAGGTTCATGTTATCGATTTATTTCAAATAATAACATAGATGTACAAAGTCAGCTGATTGCCAAAGTTTTACAACATTAGCGGCAATTAAATTAAATGTAATTTTGTCATTTTTAAATTATATCAGAAATAATCCAACAAACGCAAAACTTGTTTTCTGTCTTCATGGATAATTGTATCCGAAACATCCATCTATAAGTGCTATTAGCAAGTGCAGGTATTTCCATCTATAAGTGCTATTAGCAAGTGCGGGTATTTCCATCTATAAGTGCTATTAGCAAGTGCGGGTATTTCCATCTATAAGTGCTATTAGCAAGTGCAGGTATTTCCTGGTTCATGTACCTGATATAATCCAATGGTTGGAGCTTGTGCCAGTTGCTCCAGTGTGCCCAGTGGTCATATAACATTTTACGAACATTGGGTTTCAGGCTCTTTGGTTTCCAACTCCCCTGAAATAATATTTTAGAGAGATGAACTTAATTTTTATAAAAAATTAATGTAATGACATCTCTCATGAGTGTCAGAGGGGGGGTTGTGTTGGATGCGGATGTCAGGAAAAACTGACCCCCTTTTTCATATATGGTCTGACGCCCCTGTCTCTCAAATGAACAAATGTCAACAAATATATTAGAGTAAGTTGATCCAAAACTCTCTGATTGACACATCTCTTCTATTTGGAGAGTCCCATCGAGAACAAGTGACCCATAATGTTTCTTCTTACAACCCAAAATTATTTTTAATAACATAATATCTTGTTGTGTCATAAGGTGAAAACATTTTTTACAATAAGTGTTAAAAGCCAAGATCATATTTTCAAGTAAAGGATAAGAGCCCCAAGGTTTAACATTTGTTATTCTATGGCTTTGTTCAACAATATGTTTTACAATATATTCATATTAGCATTCTCACCTCATGTAGGGGATAAGCTGCCTCATAAAAGCCATCAGATATCAACTTTCTGATTCCTGCAAGAAATCAATACAACTGTATAAAGTAAACATGTATTCTATAATGACTCTATAAGGTAAACATATATTCTATAAAATACATCTTTATGTTAACTGTATCATTCTGTCTTGTCAGAATATCATCTCACATATATTTTACTTATGTGGTTAAACTTGTATGAATATCTGACTTGTATATGTACCTCAATTAAAAATCCTACAATTAAAGTAGTACAGTACTTATTGTGGTTTCAATAACACCCCTTATCTTTTGAAATAATTCAAAAATTCAAATGTTGATTCATGTTGATCATAATAAAAGGTCTTGAAAAAATCAACACAATACCAGTTGTTCTATGAATCTAGAAATGACACACTACGAGTAGGTAGATGACTGTATAAATAGGATTCTTCATGCATAACAGGCACTTTCACTTTGATGTACGCAACATACCACATAATATATACGTATATATAATATATCACATATTTAACTTACCAAAAGCCATGTTGTCATTGGGATCATCACTGAAGCGCTTCCTCCGCAGAATATAGTCCACAACCATACTGCGTTGTGTGTTCAAGAAGAATGTTTCTTTGTTAGATGGGATGGCAAATCTGAAATCACATTTGTATGATTGGGGATGGCAAATCAGAAATCACATTTGCATCAAAAGGGGTGACAAATCAGAAATCGCATTCGTATGATTGGGGATGGTAAATCTGAAATCACATTTGTGTTTGATTGGGGATTGTAAATCTGAAATCACATTTGTGTTTGATTGGGGATGGCAAATCTGAAATCACATTTGTATAATTGGGGATGGCAAATCTGAAATCACATTTGCATGATTAGGGATGGCAAATCTGAAATCACATTTGTTTGATTGGGGATGGCAAATCTGAAATCACATTTGCATGATAAGGGATGACAAATCAGAAATCACATTCGTATGATTGGGGATGGCAAATCAGAAATCACATTTTTATGATTAGGGATGACAAATCTGAAATCATGATTGTATGATTGGGGATGGCAAATCTGAAATCACATTTATATGATTGGGGATGGCAAATCTGAAATCACATTTATATAATTTGGGATGGCAAATCTGAAATCACATTTATATAATTGGGGATGGCAAATCTGAAATCCCATGCCCAAAAGTAATGTAATGATAATACCTCACTGATATGAATCCTAATCAATATATCGTGTTTATGAGACAATGCTGTCAGATTAAATTTATTTATAAATTTATAAAGTTATTTTGACATAAATTACCATTTAATTTCTAAACAAAAAAGTAAGATAGACAATTAACAGTTGCTAGTAAAAACTACTTATGGAAATAAACTGGAAATACGAATTGTTTTCTTTGTGCATTTGTGAAAATATTGGATTATATTTATGTACATTTATTGTCTGCTTTAATAGCCTGAAGAATGGGAACTAAAATGTGGAACACATGGGATGGCAGATTCTGGAAATTAATCCAAATTGACTTCTTCATAAAGAATAATAATGAAATGTATTCAAATATAAGATCATCAAACCAAGTACGGTCCAGGATATCCCAAGATTGACAGGACTAGTGCTGCCATTTCGTTTATAGTGTTTCTTTTCAAATTTTCACAGAATGCACTTCCATATAGAAATGGATGTTTAAAAAAATAATTTGTAAAACACAGTTTGAGTTATGGTTGATATAGTAGCATGACATCACAGTACCCGGGCAACATATATAATAAAAGAAAGTTCACCATGTGAGCTAAAAACACACAGGAGTCTTTGACCATATTGATGTTCTATCAGTTGGATATGAAACAAAAACCTAAGAATTAAACATTAATTTCAAGTCTGGGTGGCGTGTGCATGTACTAATCCAAGAATAATTTAAGTCAATATAAATCTACACTGATGAGCTGTCACAGCTGTACATTAGTCACCTTTTTTAATTATTTTATACAAAGACTGCTAAAGATGACAAAGGGAAACTACAGGTATATGTACCTGGGTATATGTGTGACATTTATATTTCACTTGGGAGGCAGCTTTATTTATGCTCTAATACACAGTAAGTATTTTATGGTTAATTCTTTAATTGATCATTGTTGTTTACATCTCAAAGGGAAAGAAAGCTTTTAACAGGAGATACTATTTAGCCACAACTATGAAAATTTACAACAATTTAAAACCTCATTTTTTATCTAGATGGGTACAAGTATTTGAACACACCTAATGGTCCCATACTTGGTATAGTACATCACACAACACTTAACAAAGACCCAGTTTATGCATTCTACAGTATTCCATATGCTAAAGCACCAGTAGGAAAACTGAGGTTCAAAGCACCTGAAAAGTATGGAATGTGGGGCAAACACAAAACATATGATGCAAGACAAATACGTAAGCATTTTTCAGATTAAGTGAAATATTTATCCAGACCCTTTGTCCGTATCCAGGCCCATAGCCAGCTTTTGCCAAAAGAGGTATTTTTTTAAAAAAATTCCAGGGGGTTCAAATTTGACAATTTTAGCCCAAAATCACTTGAAAAGTGCTCAAAATAGTCAAAACTGCATGATTTTGAAAGTATTTTTGACCGGAGGCTTTCACCAGAGGCATAGACTCCTTTCTCAATGTGAGTATATTTAGTAAGAATTTATAACTGGTAGGGGAAGATTAGCTGGGCTTTAAACCTGTTATCATGATTAAACAATTTCTTCTTTCAAGAATCGATCTGGTCAAAGATAGAAAAATAGCCTCTGTAGCTATGTTCCAAACCCATAGTGGTAAAAATCAAATAGTAAATGCATCTGCCCCTAATACTTAGGGACCCAGCCTGAATATTTTTGTTTTTGAATATTGGAGAGTATTACGCGAGATTTTTTCATTTTCTTGTTGGAAAATATATTTATTTTATGATGTGGGGTGATATCTAGAGTTTGAGGCTTGCGAAAATAAGATATCCTCGTCTTTATACCCCCCACCCTATAATTTCAGGGGGGTCAGAAGAAAATAAACTTTAATTCATAACTTTGGAAGTAAATGAGATACAAACTTAATTTTTTCACCATAATTTATAGAATAACATCAGTAATGCAGAAAAAAATATATCAAACAAAAATAAGCTAATTTGCATAATTTAACCCTTAAACCGCCATAAAAACTATTAAATAACAGAATGATAATAAACAACTTTTACTGTAATTGCCTTCATATGAAGTTATAACTTATGAAATAATTCCTAAAAATGCATCTATATATGTATATTAGATGTGCAAAATATTAAAAGTGTATCTTACATAACGACTGTGAAAAATATTTCTCCCCTTACCCTAAAATTGGAGGGAGGGGGTCAAAAGAAAATAAACTTTAATTCATAACTTTGGAAGTATATAAGATACAAACTTAATTTTTTCACCAAAATTACAAAATAATATCAGTAATGGAGAAAAAAATATTTTGAACAAAAATAAGCTAATTTGCATAATTTAACCCTTAAACCGCCATAAAAACTATTAAATGACAAAATGATAATATACGACATTTACTGTAATTACCTTCATATGAAGTTAGTTATAACTGATGAAATAATTCCTAAAAATGCATCTATATATGTATAATAGATGTGAAAAATATTAAAAGTGCATCTTATATATAGATTGTGAAAAAAGTTCTCCCCCTACCCAGATATTTCAGGGGGGTCAACTGAAAATGGACTTTAATTTATAACTTTGGAAGTATATGAGGTATAAACCTATTTGTTCACCAAAATTTATGTAATAACATCAGTAACTAAGAAAAAACATTTTTGATATGCAAATAAGCTAATTTGCATAATTTAACCCTTATACAGTCATAAAAACCGTTAAATGACAAAACGATAAAATACGACATTTATTTTAATCGACCTCTCATGAAGTTATAACTTATGAAATAATTCATATAGTTGTATTTATATATGTATAACAGATGTGCAAAATATTAAAAGTGTATCTTACATAACGTCTGTGAAAGAAATTCTCCCCCTACCCAGATATTTGAGGTGGGGGTCAAAATGAAAATGGACTTTAATTCATAACTTTGGAAGTATATAAGGTACAAACTTAATTTTTCACCAATATTTATGTTATATCATCAGTAATTCAGAAAAAATATTTTTTGATATGCAAATAAGCTAATTTGCATAATTTAACCCTTATAAAGTAATAAAAACCGTTAAATGACGAAGTGATAAAATATGGCATTTACTTTAATTGACTTCTTATGAAGTTAAAACTTCGAGAAAAAGTTTACAACAGATATGCCCAATATAAAGAGGTTATTTTATATGAGTGTGAAAAGAATCTTACACCCTACCTTAATAATTTTGAGGGCTCGGGGGGGGGGGGGGGGTTGGGGTTAAAGAAAATAATAGACTTTAACTCATAACTTTGAAATAATTTAAGAAAGAGCTTATATTTCTTCAATGAAAATTGAGAAATCACATCAATAATGAAACGAATATTACATGGGGACAATACTATATTTCAACTAATTTGCATAATTTAAGCTTCAAACAGTCATGAGAATCATTATAAGGCAAAGTGGTTCTATACTGAAATTGACTTCACATGAAGTAAGGACTTTGACAATATATCCTTTCTTAATACTAGGATTTAAATGGAAAAATGATATCAACAATTATGAAGCTATTTTTCCCAACTATTTCAATGCCCATGGAGATTTTCATAGATATAACACTAAAGGCAAATCAAACTTCACCATTCCTAAAGCAAAACTGAAAATTATGGCAAAAAACAATAGCCTTTAGTGGTTCATCCATATGGAACAATCTCCCAGAAGAAATAAAAAAGTCAAATTCCATTCTTTTCTTAAATCAAAACTGAAGAAGCATATTCTCTTAGCTTATTAATCATTAGTTGACTATATCATTTCTTGTTTGTTCAGTAAGAAATGTAGGCTCTCAAGGGAGGTACATGGGCCAACATGGGGGCTGCTCCAAACTACTTAAGATCTAAAATAATAATTCTGACCATACCAACCTTGGGGAAGGTAAAATAATAACTAATATTTTATAAGAATCACACTTTTAACGATTATTTGCATCAATGCGGTAGCCTGGTATCTTTAAATAATAATTAATGAAGCTACACATTCATAAAATTTCCCCATGGCATATGGCACCTTCTTGGCTTCAAATGAAACGAGCATCATGGATCCCCCATACCTTTATTTATTATAATCTAACTTTTGTGATTACATTCCGGTTTGATTCGTTGACAACATAATGATATACTTCATGATTTAACTACTATATGTACGGGTATTTAAGCATCACCTGTGGTGCCACCTATTATTAATAATATGTGTACACATAATGATTAAATGTATGAATAAATTGAGTTTAATTGGACTTGCAATGTTTCAGAATAACCCTTAAAAAGGTAACCATAACAATTCTAAAGTTTATTGAACCATATTCAGAGTCACTGTGGGGACTGGTGTCATATTCTAGGTTGTAGGTACCTGATGCAGTGAAAATGTCATCATATATGTTTGGGTTAATCCACTTATTCCCTTTGAGCCGCATGAACATGCAGCAAAACATTCT